TCGTTTGCAACGACCCCTTGAAACTCTCGTGTGACGTTCCATCGAACTTTGAACATTTCGAATCGATTGAACTTTGAATCGAACGAATGACAAAGTGTCGAGGTTTCTTGAATCCTTGTCGTTTTAACCTTGATATTCAAAGTTCAATGGTGGACAAATATCGTACAGCAAGTGTAAAGAGGAAATGTTCGATCTTCAACATCATAGTCGATTTATAATAGTCGCGTGGGAAACTTTTTTTTAGTGTTTTTTACACATGCTCGAATTTCCACAATTTTCGAGAAGAAAGTAATACCTCAATTTCGTAATATCTTCGAAAAAGACCAGCTCACGACTGTCACGCTTTAAAATGAGACTCGATTGTTATAGGATCTTTTTTTACTGAAATTAATTGCATTAAATTGTCGATAATTTTTCATTCCCATTGGCACAGTTATACTCTTGGAAACTTTAAGGTGGTGATCAAATTTATGACCCGGCTGGGGATTTATTCTTGAAGAGAAAAACCAGCAAGAGAATCTTGGTGGTCTTTTCATTAGAACTGAAGGTAGAGTTGGGTATTAAAATTTTTAGTTCGATTGACTGATTAATGTTTACGATTTTGATCTAATTAATATTATCAGAAACTGGGGTAAAGGCATAAATTTCTTTCCCCAATTTTTTTTCTTTCTAAAGTTAAAGTTTCTAAAATTCGTTTCTTTCTAAAAACTATTAAGGTTTCTTCAATAAGAGGCTCATTTTATCACTAAAACAAGAAATCAATTCGGAGGGAGGTCGAAATAATTCTTGCCATTAAAAAAAAAAAAAAAAAGAGAAAAGTCTAAAGAAATTATAAATCAGTGAAATATCGAAAATTGGAAAGAGCCATCAAGCTAGAAATTTATCAAGCGTTTAATTCTATTTAATTCTTGCACAATACATATACGTCCGAGAGATTATGAATTATTCTACTGAGACATAAAATATTAAATTCTATTCAGCTGCAGTTTTAGTGGTCTGTTGCTATCTTTGTTAATATACTAAAAAGTTCCCCGCAGAAAGTGTGTCAACCGCATAATTCTGCTTTAGATAATTAACTTTTTTCAATCTCGGTGGGACACAGGTATTTACCGCGGAGAAAATTTTAGCGCGCACTCTTGAAAATTCGTGCACGAGATTTCCTTCAGTCGAAGAAGTTTTCAACAATGTAATGACATTTCGAGTTTCTCTATTAAATTGCGTGCAAACTATATATATAACATAATTTATCTTGTCAAGTTTACCTTCAAATTTTCATCATTTGCAATTATTATTTCGTCAAAGTGTGGAAAACAGAAATCGAAAAAGTTAGGGAACATAGTTTAAACATATTTCTGTTTGAAATCGTAAGAAGAAATTTTCGATGAGAACAGATAAATAAATATCCTCGAAGATAAAAATTTCGGACAGTACAAAATATAAGACTAAAGTATAAAATTTATAAAATGTGAACATTTTTCTATTGGACGAACGGATGATTTGTTCATCGATATTAAAAATGTTCTCGAGCAATTTGTAATAAATACTATTCAACGAATAGTACTCGAATAAAAAAATGGATTTTTAATCAAATGTTCTAAAACAACTTTTATTATATAGGTTCTGAAATATTTGTTCCATGAGAATACTATTCGAAAGTGTAACACTTCTTTCTGTGAAAATTCCACAAAAACAAATATACTCTTTTTTTTTTTATATGAAACGCACAAGTTCGAACAGAATTTGTTTTTAAAAACGAAACGAACAAACGTGTTAATTTCGATCTCTGATGAAGAAGCTGTTTTCAACAAAAATTGTAATTTTGTACAAAAGATACATTTTGATATTAATATATTATTATTACCATAATATATTCAACATATATTTATATATATATATATAATATTAATATACACTTTCAATACTATAATAATATTATAATATAATAATATAATATAGTTCAATACTATAACAATACTACTTTCAATATTAATATTAACGAGACATATACATATGTCCCATTCTTCATACAATATAAATTACTATAGTGATTTATACAGGGTGGGCCAAAAGTTTTTCTCATTTATGTTTTCTTAATGAAATGAAATATAAGTCAAAATATAAGAAAAAAACTAACTTTATTAATTTTTAATTTATTGTTTAATATAAACTTTATTAATATTTAATTTATTTATAACTTTATTTTAGTACCAAGTTCAAACATGATTCTTTCCATCGTGTTTTAAAAATTATTTCTCTCAAACATTGACCTGCCACAGCGTTCACAAATTAATAAAAAAATTTTATAAAAAACTAATAATAAAATATTAAAAAAACTAATAATAAAAATTTTATTTCAATAGGAGGGTGATTCTTGGCCCGCCCTATATCAAATTTAGCATCATAGCGTTTGTGAATGGAGAAGTGTCATACCTCTAAATCTGGAATTCGGTTCTCAACGAGCAGCAGAAGAGACGGATGATCCCACGGCAATTCTCTTTCATCGTACGCGTAGGATACAGGTTGACTTTTAGTCATAGCGACGAACAATAGGGATAGCAATATGCTCATAAACGTCATTGTGTCTCGAATGTATCTGAAACAGAGTGAACGCAGGTTTTTTTTTATTAGACTTTACAAGCCTCGTAAAACCTTACACGGTGTCGTGTTGGATCTATTTTTGTGATGACCACAAACCAATGAGAGACGTTTAAAAAAGAAGAATAGAAACACAGAGGTTGAACAATGCGCGAACATCACAGGGTAGAAAACTAATTCACTGTGATTTTTTAATATTAGTTTATTACTTAGCAAATAAATGGAAGGTGATGTACAATTAAAAGAAGAATCCTCTTCTTCTTTTTTTTTAAATGGATTAAAAATTCCATGGTCCCACGTGTTTTTCTTCTTGAAGTTACTCAAGTTGTTTCTCCCTGAATAATAGTTGATAGCTTAATGAAATTTTGTGGAGATTCGGTGTGAACATTGAAATATTAAAACAAGCAGAATATTAAAAATTTTAAGAACGTGCAAGGTGAATGCGAATGAAACTATGTAAATAAAATATAAATATTAAATAAAAATATATATACTATTATGTTATTACTATATTGTTACATGCTATATTACATTATTATTACTTCATGTATTATTGTATTATATTATATTATTACACTATTATGTTACAATTTAAGATATGGAAAATATCCAAGTGAAACAATATAAATAAAGTTAAATGAAAGTTAAATAGAAATGTAATTATGTTATGAGAGAAGTATTAAATTTTACAATTTTAGGGGAAGTATGTAAATAAAATAAAAATATAATAATCGTATATATGTATGTTCTCAGAAAAATCGATAAGAATAAATTTATTTCTATCCCATTTTGATCCTAGGATTATATTATTTTTAATTGTGTCCTAAGATTTTTGAATCTTTATATTTTGCCTAAATGTATAAAAATTTATATAATGTAAGCGTTAGTATAATGTAACGTTTAGTTATAATTTACAATATATCAGCTATACTTTGGATTATATTACACTGTTTCGTATTTTAGAATATCTTACAAATATAAAATAAAGATTTGCAGTCACGTTTTAAATTATTAAATAAATCGTATACGGTATGAAAATGAATTTATTACACTGCAAATTTTTGATAATGTAATATTCATAGAGTCTCGGTTAGATTTTTACTGATCGTAAGTTTCTCTTAAAAGTCTTTAAATTCGGTGAAAATAATGAATTCTTGGCACAGTTTCTTTTTCCTGAAATGTCCTTTCAAACTACTATTCTTGGATAAGAAACGATCATTTATTTAACAATCACTCTGAAAATAATTATTACGTTACTTTGTAATTCAATAATTTTGATAAAAAATTTATTATCATATTACTATAACATTACACATTATTATTATTAAAATAATAATTATTCTCAGAGTATATTCAATAATATCAACTCTAATGGTAAAAATGGTCCTTCAAACAGGGGAAACAGAATTTGGACTCTGAAAATCTTTGATCAACACTAATTAACATCAAATGATGTACTCTTCACATTGATACACTTTATCTAATACACAAAGGAATTAAAAGAAGCAGGCATCTTTTATCCACTGCAATTTGTCACACTTTTCTTTTCTTTCGTTCGTTATTTCTGTAACATACAGTTACGTCGCTGCCTTTGATATCTTATTTATGGCAACGACGTGACGTGCGGGAGCAACAAACGAGAAGGTCAAGTTCAAACGGTGAATGAATCTGGGTCGATGTGCCGATATAGACGTCGGTGTCGTCATCGGCGGGTTCATTAACACCGGGGGGCTTAATCTGCGCCTGTAGGCTAATTTAGGGTTGTCGTTCCTCCTTCCAATTTACTCTGGTACGCCGCCTACAAGGACTCGACGCTCGCTCTGATCTCTATTTCCCTTCGTTCTTTCTATCATTGCGTTTCTTGTTTCTTTTTCCTTTTCTTCTCTTTCTTCTCACTCGCCAATTTGTCATTGGCGAGAAACGTTCGCGAGATGTATTAATTAATGGCCGAGGCGAGGAAACTATTTAACAGAAAAAGGAGTTGCCAGACACAAGTGAAGTGAAAAGTGAAGCGAAGCGGTTTCTAATTTGAATAATTCCTGTACGAAACAGTCGACTGCACGATTAACACCAAGCCATTTTTGCCATTTGATATTTTGACTAAAGCTTGATATATTATCACACAATCTTTCATT